AGGGAGGAGGGAGGATGAGACCCAGATTCGGAGCGACGCCGCGAGAAGGGGCAAAGCAGGCAGCGACGACGACGGTGGCGAGGAGGAAGCGAGCATGGACTCCGGTCCAGCCTGGGGCGAGAAAGGGGGAGTACAGGGGGATCGGATCACATCCGATCGGGACGAGGATGAGGGAGATTGACTACCTCCCAAAAAAACCCAACCTAACCCGAAGAGCCGAATTTCGGGTTGGAGGGGTACGGGGTCCACACGTGTTTTTCCAATGTTCTAAGTCTGTTCGCTCTTACTTGCCCGCGTGTCATTCACAACGAGTTCCCCACACCCTCGATACCCGCCCTGTTTGTCTTCGATCACAGCCCCCTTGGGGGGATTGTTTCCCTTTGCGGGGGGCGGCGGGCTTAGACAGACGGGCGAACCTGAACGGGCGGACAATCTTTCGTGGGGGTACATGTGCCCGCCATTGGAATTGGTGTGGGCCCTGCAAAAAGAGGAGGGGGAGAACGAGGGAGAGTGGGAGGAAGGGAGGGGGAGGGACGAAGGAAGAGGGAAAACGCCAGGATCGAATGAGCGAAGAAGGGGGCGGTTGATTAGAGGCAGGGAAGAAAGAGAGAGAGAGAGAGAGAGAAAGACAGATAAGAGAGGTAGAGAAAGAGAAAGAGAGAGAAAGGGGAGAGAGAGCGAAAGAAAGAGGGAGGGAGGATGCAGGAGAGGGGAGAGAGGAGGGAGAGGAGGGAGAGGGGATAGGGCAGAGAGGCATAAGGATGAGGGGAAAGAGGAGGGAGAGAGAAGGGAGGAGATGAGGGAGGACGGAGGAGGGAGAGGGAGGAGGAGCAGGAAGGTAAGAGCGTGAACGTTCGAGGAAGTCCTAGGCGAAAGCCCGTTGCTGAAGGAAGTCTCGGGCGGGAGCCCACGACGGGCGGGCGATCCTACGACGGGCGGGTCGGGCGGGTGGGACATTCAAGCGGGATGCCTGAGTATGGCGAGAGCGCGATTACTAAGTAAATTGTAACAACGTCCTTGGCGCAGCGTGTTTCCTGAGCGTCGAAAGCGCGATTTCTGAATACATTGCATGGAAGTCACAGGCGAGAGCGCAATTCCTGAATAAAATGTGAAGGGTTCTCTGGCGGGAGCGGGGGTCCTGACTAAATTGCGAGGAAGTCTTGATTCGATTGCCAGGAAGTCTCAAGCGGGAGCGCCGTTCCTGAGTAAAGTGTGAGGAGGTCTCAGATGGGAGCGGGGGTCCTGACTAAATTGCGAGGAGGTCACAGGCGGGAGCACCGATCCTGACTAAATTGTGAGGAAGTCTCAGGAGCGGGGGTCCTGAGTAAATATGGAGAGGAAGTCTCAGGCGGCAGCCGTTGTTTTTGTAATTCGGGGGGCCAGGGGCCCAGTTTGAGCACCAAGACTTCCCCTGTCAGAAAACAGGGTGCGAGCGTCGAGTGGCGCACTTTGATTGAGAAAGACCAGCATGCACCTGTCAGGGGGGTCAACAATAACGATTCAGAAGTGAGAATTCACAAACAACAACAACAACGACAACAACAACAACAGCAACAACAACAACAGCAGCAGCAACAACAACAACAACAACAACAACAACGACAACGACAACAACAACAACAACGAAAACAGCGACAACAACATTAACACCAACAACCGCAACAGCAACAACAACAACAACAACAACAACAACAGCAGCAGCAGCAGCAGCGACCACAACAACAACAACAACAACAACAACAACAACAACAACAACAACAACAACAACAACAACAACAACACATATGCGCAAGTATAAACGGTCGAAGCTCTGCGCGGGTTTCTTTGACCGGCGCTGACCCCCCTCCTTGGAACACACGGCGATAGAGGCGTCACCAAAGGGCACAGCGCGAAATCCGTCCAGACCTCCGACGATTATGTTTATGCTGGTTTTCAGTCGTCGTCAAACAACGTGGTGCAGACTTGGGATCTGCAACAGTCATATGTAATTCTGGAGATGTTCGCAAGCGGGGCCGCACGCGCGAAGACGATCGTGTGCATCGAACCCTTTGGGCAATCTTCGATGTACGTCGAGCCCCACCCCCAACCATCCGAGGCCTTGTTTTCTTCAGTACGCGGCCCGGGGATGTCCCGACCTATTCCCCTGGGTCGCCTTTGCTACCCGAGCCGTTCCCCTGGGTCCAGGAAGGGCCCCAGAAGAGGCCGAACTCGGTAACAAAAAACCCTGACGCTATCAGTTCTCTGTGCACAATGGAGGTCCAGGCTCAGCGACGGCCTCCCCGGACCTCTCCCAGGGCGCATTCCGACCAGGACCCCGAGGAGAAACCAGCCGCGGCGAACAGGGCTCTCCAGGACAAGCAGCGGCATCAGCATCTCCTCCCCCCCCTGAACACAGACACGCGGCGCCGTGATTCCTTCAAGGCGGGGTTCCCGGAGTCCCGACCCCTTCCCCAGAGCCCGCCCTTCATTCCGAGTTGTTCTTCGACGGTCCCGGGGGCCTGGCGGGGGCCCCCGAGTACGCCGAATGCGGCACAAACCTCCCGTCGTGACTCATCTGGCGATGCGAGCGTGCCTGGGCGTATGCTGTTCCCACCGCACTTGAGGGCCACGTCCCCGAAACAATCTCGGGCACCCAGGAAAATACCAAAGCAGGGTCTGCCCGACACGATGGCGAAGAGTCGAACGAGTATCGCCTCCAGGGGACCCACACGTGAAGACCGACTAGATTCTGTACTTCCCTGGTGCTCGAAATTCTCTCTGGTGATCAAGGCTAAGGTCGGGGGGAACATCGTAAGTGGGCATGAGAATCCCCTCCTTCCCCGACTTGGCGGCGCGCATCAGGGAGTGGAGAAGAGGGAACGGCTTCTTAAAAGCCCCCCTCCTTCTCAGGAACCGCGGGCCTTGTCTGTAAATGTAGGCTGGCGCCTGCTAAGAAGCGGGCTCCTTTTAAGAAGCCCACCCCCTTCCCCCATCCCCACGTTCTCCCTTGTCAGGGACCCCACAAGAAATGTACGCGCCCAACCATGTATATGAATACGGCCCCCAATCCGCGAGACCAGCTTTTTTAGATGGACGTTCGCGCAATGCGTACTTTCGAACCGAACGTGGATTCATGCACGTGCACCATCGAAATCTACAGTAAGGACGGGCGGTAGGAACGCAACGGCCTTGGACGCCGAAATTGACACTTGTTGGGCGGCGGACTGCCAACACCCCATGAAAGGTTGGCCGGTGAAAACCGCCGAGGGCGGGCCGCAGAAACAAAGAAGCCAAAATACCTTCTACGTAAAGACATCCGTGCGTCCTCACTGTGAGCTTTGCGTGTACGTCCTTTTTTTGCTCCTGACTTGTGTAGAGGCCTCCTAAATTGGGTCGGAGTAGGTTGGGTCGGAGGATCGCGCCACATCGCCGACACATCAGCGATGCATCGGCGATGCATCGGCAATTCATCAGCGACGTCGGCGCTGCATCGGTGCCGACGACGGAAAGAAAAACGGGCTGCGCATCGAGCGGCATCGGCGATGCGTCGGCGATGCGGCGCGACCATCCGACCCCATCTACTACGACTCCATATGGGAGGCCTCGGAACCCGGGGATCCAAATCCCAGATTTGCCCAAGAGGGCGCACTCGAAGGGGCGCGCTCAAAGGGCGGGAGGCAGGCGCGCTCCCGGGGGCGGCGCGGAGGGGCCGGCCTTCTGAGACGCTGGGGCTGGCCTTCCGGCTCCTGGGAGGCCGCCTCAAAGAGCCTCGGGGCCCGTCGAGGCAGGCCCTTGCCTTCCTCGAAGCCCCCCCGCCGTCCTGAAGACCGTCCCCCGCGTGCTACCCCAATCTCGGAGGCCTAGAGAGCGTCTTTCTTTTCGCTCCTGACGCGCGCGCGCCCCCAACTTGTGAGCGCATGAAAACCGCCCCCCGCCCCCCACATGAGGAACTCCAGGCGACTGGGCCCGCCAAGCGATGCGCGAACTGCGAGCGGAAACGGCTCGACGGTCAGCCGACGACAGCGCGGCGCCATTCAACGCGAACGGCGCGCTGCTGGTGTCCACTGCGGGCCCGACGTGCGCCGCCGGTTACTGGTTAAGTCGGGCGTGGCCCCCTGCAGTTGGATTTCCGAAGAAACGTAGAATAATACTCAAAGCATGCCCTAAAATAGCCGAACTACGTAATCAAACAATAGTCAAAAACATCCCGAACATTTTTCTCTCTCTCTCTCTCTCTTTCTCTCTCTCTCTCTCTCTCTCTCTTATATATATATATATATATATATATACTCCCTTCTATATTTTTACAATCCGGGGGGGGGGACCCCCCCCCCCGGGAAATCGGACCCCCGGAATCTGGCGCTTTTGGGGCCCCTTGGACGCCTGGCAAGGGGGTCCCCCGAGCCTTCCGGGCCTCCTGGACGCCCCTGGCCGGCCTTCTGCATCACTGGACGTCCCTAGTGTCCTTGCGAAGCCTCTGCAATCGGCTAGCGGGAAGCTCACAAAACGGCCCCAGAGCCTACAAGACGCTCCAAAAGGCCTTCCAAGACGCTTCCGAAGAGGCCCCAAGAGGCCACAATTGTTGATACCCTCGGGGCTCCATTTTGGGAAGATGGTTCACGCAGAAACGACATTCTCTGACGATCGGTGTCCAAAAGATGGACTCCGCAATGTGTTCTTACACGTGTCATGTTCACACTTATAAATACTATGTGGTGTTTGACCTGTCTCGCAAGATCTGCGAAAGGATTGCATTCGATTGGCATCCGCGGGGTCATGTTTTTAGCGAAACGGCCGGAAAACTCAATGACGGACGCATTCATTCCCTCTGAGCTCTACTTATTCGTGGAAGTGCGCGTGATGATGCACATATGTGCACCTTTCCCCCAACATAACAGACAGCTTCAATTTCCGTAGCCATGTTGGCTTAAACACCATTGCGCCTTCAAGGGTGAAGTCGCGGTGACCATGAGGGACTCTTTTTTTGGGTTTCGTTCTGGCTCGTTCGCTGCGTTCGGCAGATGGTTCGCGACAGCCTGCTCAAGAAAACGCTTCGCACCGCAGATATGCCAAGCAGCTGGCGCGCCCTGCCTCCCAGCGCGGAGCTGGTGCCAGCCATGGACGTGCACATGGAAACTCTCACTGCCGCGGAGCTCAAGGACCCGTGTGGGCATTACATTCAACCACCCTGGCGTCGTTCAACTGGGCCCCCCCACTCCACCCCACAATTATCGACATGCACGTTCGGTTCCCTTGGGGGGGCGCGGCCTGTGCAACGCCCAGGGCGACAATGACGCCAGGGTGGTTCGCAATGTGAGTCCACGCCCACATATGTGAGGCCCTCCTTCCGGCGTTGTCGACGCGGCGCGACACGCACGTGCCCACCAGCGAGTGGAACGCGTGCAACCACACGGGGTCAACCAGCACGGCTCCTTTGCACGTGAGGAGCATCGAGGGCGAGAAAGTATGTTTGGAGTGCGCTGACAAAACGGGCCGGGCTCAGACACACACGCACTGAATCAGTGCCCGCAGCACGCTCGAGATAGCACGGCGCTGCTGCTCGAGTTCCTGCACTCCCCTTGCGCAGTGCGCATAATTGCCGATCATGTGAACACCATCGCCGGAGCCAAGGGAGTGGTGGCAAAGCTCAACGTGGTCCTCCAGCAACACCCCGGGCACCCGGCCGACCTGATTGGCGACAGTTTCAATCCTTGGAAGCTACAGAAGAATAGACTCGCCAAGCTCCACGCAGCGAAAGCCGCGCGAGAGCTCAGAAAAATTGCCGCCAACAGCAGATGCTTCCTGAGCGCGCTCACGGAGCTCGGCCACAAAGGCGGCATGGTACCGGCCCTGTTCGCGGCGTCCGCCGAAGAGATGGAAGGGGTGCTCGCGGCGTCTCCTGGGTGGAGAAGCTTCAGAGTGAAGAATGCGTTGCGCATTCGACAGCCCTCGTCGCGGTGCCCGGATCACGGGCGGCACAAGAAAACTCCCGCGGTCGTGCTCGCAGGCAGCGGGCCGCGCCGCGTGGTGTCCCAGCGATTGGGCACCACGGTGTGGGCAACCGGGAAACGCGGACGACCGGTTCGCAAGGTTGCCGCGCTTCACGCCCAGAACGCCGCCGCCATCCAGCTGTGGACCGTCCTGATCCGGCAAGCTGGAGCCACGCGCGTGAAGGCTTTCCAGGAGCACAAAGCCGCGACTCTTGCTAAGTTCAACCACGACGTGGTGCGGCGGGTGTACTCATTCTGTGAGCAGGCCACCCTCACGGATTACGGCGCGCAGTTCGCCTTTTGCGAAGAGTCGCAATTGCCGGCTCGGCTCGGGGGCGCTGCAGCAGACGAGGACGCAGAGGCCGGGAGTGACTGGGAGAACGTGGCAGCCGGCGACGAGCACGAGGTCGACGAGGCCACTGCTGCTGGCGGCGCCTGGCGGCCGACCACTTAATTCGGAACGCAAGCGCGCTGGGGCGGAAACAGACTTCCTCCCCCTGACACCTCCTGCTGCTGGCCTCAGACTCGATTCCCGGTAACGAGAGACAGCACACATGCGTGCGTCGCAACAATATTCGGGAAATCCGTTGTGAACTTGGGATTCGGTGCACTTCCCGAGAAGATCGCACGTCGACGTTTGAGGCTCGAGGTTCGCAGGGCAAGAGTCGAGAGAGGAAGGCGCAGATCACGGTTCGCAGCTCGACACTTCAGGTTTTCCTGTGATTTTCTATTCTTTCGGGGCCTCCGCTCTCTCGCCGCCACGTTGCAGGGGCCGCTTCAAAATTCAGTTCCAAACGCAGTCCTAAATGAGCTTGCCGCACTTCAAGGCCAACATGGATGAGGCGAACAGCCATTTATGCTCGATTCGAAGGACCAAGGTGCATGGCGCGAAGCGCCGATGCAGTCTTGTATATATATATATATATATGTATATACAGATATACACTCTAAAATTGCCAAAACATGTTCAAAAAAATGGGGCCCCACCGAGCGGCGGCGGCGGCGGCGACGGCCCCGCCCCCGCCCGGCGGCGGAGCGCTGCGCGGAGCCCCACGGCGGCGACGCTGCTCGGGAGGCCCGCCGCGGGCGGGGCCGCGGGCGCCCCTGCCCCCGCCCGCCGCGGGGAGGCCCTGGGAGGCCGCCGGGCCCGCCGCGCTCTCCGCGAGGAGGATCGATCCCAGACCCCCGCGAGTTAGGAGAAAAAATCACGGCGGGGGGATGTTCGGCTCCTCTCGGCCTCTGGTGGCCCTTACCCAGCCCTCGGGACCGCCAAGAACGAATGTCAGGATGACAGGCCGGTCCTGGGGAAGGAGTCGAGACCTCTGGGGGAGGACGTCACCGCAAGAATCATGACGTCGGGGGTCTGGGATTGGGCCGCTGGCCTGCTCCTCCTCTGCCTCCGCCTCCTCCTCCTCCTCCTCCTCCGACTCCTCCTCCTCCTCCTCCTCCTCCTCCTCCTCCTCCTACTCCTACTCCTACTCCTACTCCTACTCCTACTCCTCCGCCTCCTCCTGCGCCTCCTCCTCCTCCTCGGCCTCCTCCTCCTCTGCCTCCGCCTCCTCCTCCTCCTCCTCCGACTTCCTCCTCTCCTCCTCCTCCGACTCCTCCTCCTCCTCCTCCTCCTCTCAACTCCGCTCACCTCCTCCTCCTCCTCCTCCGCCTCCTCCCCTCCTCCTCCTCCTCCTGCTCTTCTTCCGCCTCCTCCTCCTAATCCCCTCCTCCTTACACCTCCTCCATCCACCTCCTCCTCGTCCTCCTCTCCTCCGTCCTCCCTCCTCCTCCTCCGACGCCTCCTCCTCCTCCTCCTCCTCCTCCTCCTCCTCCTCCTCCTCCATTCCTTTCCCTTATAAATAACATCTCCCCTTCGCACCCCGAGGCCAGTTGTTAGGGCGGGCTGGGCGTTTCGCCTGAGACTTCCTCGCCATTTGGCCACAGCTTCACAAATGAAAGGCGGATGGCTTTCAGAATGTGGCTCTCGCCTCAGCGCCGCGCACATTCGTTCTAACAAGTTGCAAGAGTTCCACGGATTGACGGCGACCCGTTTTCAATATGTGGCTCTCGCCTTAGCGCCACGCACATTCATTTTAAACATTTGCAGGAACTTCATTGCAGGAACTTCACAGATTGAGGACAACCCGTTTTCAAAATGTGGCCCTCGCCTTAGAACTGCGCACAGTCGTACAATACAATTGCAAGAGGTTCACGGATTGAGGGCGGTTCCGTTTCAAAATGTGGCTCTCGCCCCAGCGCCGCGCACATGCGTTTATAAAATTCGCAAGAGTTTCACTGGTTCCCATGATCAGCGTACCAGAAATCTTTTTGGGGAAGGATTCAGGATCTTGCGGGTGCAACAATTACGTTGATTCGCGGTGTTGGCATCCCAAGAATGGCGATCTGGCGCGATCCAGGATCGTCAATACGCAACAATCAGGTTGAACTGTGGCGTTGGAGTCCCGTGAACAATGTTGTGGCATGCTTCAGGGTCTTCAAACTGTTATCTTCCAACGAGGCAGTTCCCTCAATGGAACTGAACCGTTGTAGGGGCCTATGAAGAGGGAGCTTGGAGGGAGGGTGTACTCCAACATCGTTCATGGCTCCTGGGTTCACACTGGTCCTCCTCCTCCTCCTCCTCCTCCGCCTCCTCCTCCTCCGCCTCCTCCTCCTGCTCCGCCTCCTCCTCCTCTGCCTCCTCCTCTTCATCCACCTCCGCCGCCTCCTCTTCCTCCGTCTCCTCCTCCTCCTCCCCCTCCTCCTCCTCTTCCTCCCCCTCCTCCTCTTCCTCCTCCTCCTCCCCCTCATCCCCTGACATCCCCGCGTCGCTAACAAATCACGACGGTCGACTTTAGGAGGTGTTCGGCCTCTGCGGGCCCTCACCCAGCCAAAAACAAGCCCGCACGAAGAAACAAAAACATGTTCCGATCTCTGTGGGTGGACGTTGTGAAAGCATCTCGACGTCGGAGGTGTGGATTCTCCTCCTGTTTCTCCCTCCTTTCCGTTCGCCTCCTCCTCCTCTCGCCGCACCCTTCAAGATTCAGGCTGGCCGCAGGTCTGTCCTTCTCCCCCGTCATGGGGGGCGGACACCTCCTCCTGCTGCTCCCGCCCCCCCTCGTGTAAGCGAGAAGGTCAAGTTCCTGGGAGGTTGTCGTGCGAACGACTGGGAACCACTCAACCCGATCGAGGGCCCCTGAACCTGGATTGAGCCCCACTAAGCCAAGGATTCCATTAGATTCGAGAAGTAAGGAGCGGGCGAGAGGGGTGTGTGGCATGAGGACTGAAGTTCTAGAACGGAGGTTCGAGGAGTGAGGATCGAGGAGCGAGGTGAGTGATATTGAAGAATCGATGTTCGAAGTTTCAGGCTGGTGAAGTGGAGGGCGGGAGGAAGGGACAGGACAAGGATTGAGATTAGAGGACTGAGGTGCGAGGATTGAGGCACGAAGACTCAAATCCGAGTTTGGAGATGAAAGTCTGCATCCTCACAACCAACTGCCCTAGAGCCTGATTTATTATGATCCAGGGCAGCGGCCGTCATCGGCCCTGCCCTCCCCCCCAAAAAATGACGTCACGTTCCGCGCCGGCGGCGTCCAGACTCGGGATGACCGAGGCCAGGTAGGAGCAACATGTAGGTGGCGATGCGCCCCACAACGCCCGTGTACACTTCAGTGCTCGCGTGCAACACAGCGCGCGTGTACACCACAGCGCTTGCGTACACCGCAACAGCCGTGTGCAACACATGATCAGTGTACACCACAGCGCTTGCTTGCACCACAGCGCCTGTTTACACCACAGCGAATCTGTACAGCGAAGCGACCATGTGCAAGACAGCGCCTTTGTACACCACAATGCTTGCGTGCACCGCAGCGCTTGTGCACACGCCATAGCGTTTGTGTACACCACAGCATCCGCGTGCAACGCAGCGCTGGTGTACACCACAGCGCCTGCGCGCACAAGACAAGTAGAAGGAGCATGTAGGTGAGGATTTGCTGCAGACAGCTGAACACCACGCCATTGATGTGCTGATACTAGAACACGATGTGTATCCCCCCTCCCTCCTCCTCCACATCCTCTTCCTTCTCCTCCTCCTCCTCCTCCTCCTCCTCCCTATCCTGCTCCTCCTCCTCCTCTTCCACCTTCTCCTCGTCTTCCTCCTCCTCTTCCTCCTTCTCATCCTCCTCCCTCGCCCTTCCCCCAGTCGTGCGGGTCGGCGCTACAGCGCACGTGCGCGTCTCAGCGTGCACCGCAGAAGGGTCTATTGAATCAATCCACTTGGTTCTCGAAAAGCAATTTCTGCGGGGTCCTCATGGACGCATATGGGAGGAATTCGGATAATGCGGGAACACTCGGGAGGACTCGTAGATTCCAGCGCCGCTCTTTTTTCCAGAAGGATCCCTTCCAAATCCTATAATTATCCTGGCGAAGGTCCCAACCATATGCAGTTGCGGGTAGCGTAATTGTGAATATCTGCTTCGGTGAAGCTCCCTATGGGGCCACGAAACGCTGCACTGGGTGGGGGGGAACGTTGTGCCCTCCCACTGAGGGCTTCCGTGGAGCCCCCTATGGGGCCACGAAGCGCTCTACTGAGTGAGTGAAAATGCCAAATTGGGTTTCCGGGACGCATGCGGACGGTCCCACTGGGGGCGTCGGTGGAGCCCCCTATGGGGCCACGAAACGTCGCACTGCGCGGGCGAAAATGCCAAATTACATTTCCCGGACGCATACGGACAGTGACACTGGGGCCTTGGGTGAAGCCCCCTATGGGGCCACGAAACGCTGCACTGGGTGGGCGAAACTGCCACATTGGGCTTGCAGGACACATGCGGACGGTAGCACTGGGACCTTCGGTGGAGCTCCCTATGGGGCCACGAAACGCTGTACTGGGTGTGCGGGACGCATGCGGACGGTGCGCGGGACGATGCGGCCAAATTACATTTCCCGGACGCATACGGACAGTGACACTGGGGCCTTGGGTGAAGCCCCCTATGGGGCCACGAAACGCTGCACTGGGTGGGCGAAACTGCCACATTGGGCTTGCAGGACACATGCGGACGGTAGCACTGGGACCTTCGGTGGAGCTCCCTATGGGGCCACGAAACGCTGTACTGGGTGTGCGGGACGCATGCGGACGGTAGCGCTGGGACCTTCGGTGGGGCTCCCTATGGGGTCACGAAGCGCAGTACAGGCGTGCAGGGCGCATACGGATGGTAGCACTGGGACCTTCGGTGGGGCTCCAATGGGGCCACGAAACGCTGTACTGGTGGGTGAAACGCAGGGAGGAGGGCACGAAACGCTTTACGGGTGTGCCGACGCTTTACGGGTGTGCGGGACGCATGCGGACGTAGCACTGGGACCTTTCGTGGGGCTCCTATGTGGCCACGAAGCGCTGTACAGGGAGTGTGAAAGCAAATGCGGACGGTAGCACTGGTACATTCGGTGGGGCTTCCCATGGGGCCACGAAAC